CAATGACGAAGTGTAGTTGGTAGAGGGGGGGTGGCTACTACTAGGATTACTACTACTACTACTACTACTACTATTACTACTACTACTACTACTACTACTACTACTATTTTTGGGGGGTGCTTGGCATGCGACGTAGTAAGGACGATCAGCATCTATTGCGTCCTGTCACCTTGAAGAAAACGACAAGATGTTACCTGTTTTTACCCTATGCCCTACATCTGAAGACTTACTCTCAGCCTTGAGCATGCGAGCGTGGTGAGGCGGCCTTCAAAAACGTGCAACCACTTGCTAACGCAGAGCGGAAACTGCTGGATTTGCCAGAGGTAGGACAAACACAAGTCACAGGCCAGCCGAAAGCAACCGAGAGTTGGTGCGGCAAGTCCTCTGGCCAGACGGGGTTTAGTTAGGGGCAAAGGCCTCCGCAGCAAAATGCCAGATCCCCACCTCGAAGACTTACCCTAAGGGTCCATGTACCCAAATAGTAGATACTTTGGCCCCAAAGTACCTATATAGGGACTACTTTAAGACCAAAGTATATAATATTTAGGTACATGGACCCTTAGGGTTAAGTCTCCGGCTCTCGAGGCGAAGTCTTGCAATCGGCAACGTAGTGCTGAGATTTTGCTCAGCAGCGGAGCAGTAGGAGGAAGAGGGAGGAATGAGAAGTCGGATCGTCGTCGTCGGGGAGTTTGGCGAAAACCCTTGCATCTAGGACTTTGAGACAGGGCTCGGCGGAAGCGACCTTGAATGTGTTGGCTTTCGGGTTCTGCGTTTTGTTGAGGGTGTGGGGCTGTGCAGGACGCCTTGCAGCAGATTGATGACGACAAGCCCGTCAAAAAGCAAGCGGTGCAGAGGCGATGCCCTGTTTAATCTCAGACTCAGATTGTACAGCGGATCGTTACCGATGATGGGGTCAGATGGATGCGTTTCGACATACTTCCCACCATGAGTTTGGGATATCGGTTCCTGAGTAGCAACCCTGAAGTAGGCTCACCACCAACGTGCCCTCCGTGGTACTTCTTTCGAGACGCATCCCGGCCATGATGCTTAGAGGCGTGACGCTAGACTGGTCCAGCAGGAAACCCTAACCTGCATCCTCACCAAACCCCTGCGTGCTTGGAGTTGCTTGCTGAGGCGGCCGGATTTCGGCCTTAAACAAACCTTGAAGCGTGTGATGGACCACATCTAGAGTCCCGTAGTTCATGTGATCCTGCGGCCATTGACGGCCAGACTCCCAAGCTTGCAGCTTTAGGCGGAGCACGCTCCGAAAAGCTGCTTCCCTTGGGATTTAGGTCTGCGGGATGACTGTAGCCCTTATGGTAAAGCCCCTAAACCTTCAAAACGTAAACCAAACGCAAATGTGCAATGCTACATATCTCCGAAGTCCTTATTAAGAAATTCATCTCTACACAGGTCTCCAAATACACAAGCTTTTGGAGCTTAGATGGCTAATGAAACGGCTGTCAGGGTATAGGGTTGAGCCTACAGCTTTGAGAGAGCTCCTAGGGTTTAAGGTTGAGTTTACAGCCTTTGTAGCGATTTGTTTGTGACTCAAGGGTGGCCAGAAACACGTTTCGTGCGTCCTAGGCGTTTGCACCTTAGTGTTCTGGGCGTTCGGATGCCGAAACATGTCACCCTCTGTGACACTACGGCAACAGAGACATGCTGAAACAGCTTGGGTTCAGTGCATGCAGGGAAGGAACAGGGAACAAGTGTTCATGCCAAGCCGCGATTATTGTCAGCACAGGCATTCTCAGCGAGCTGCAAAAGATCGCCCAGCACGAAGTTAGTGTCAGAAAGTAAGTGGACACCGGAACTCACTGATAAGGGTTAGAGTCCAGCAAGGCAGCAGTGGCTCCGTCAACCACCAGGATTTATATCCCCTAAGGGTCCTTGTAGCCAAATAGATATACATAGCCCCCAAAGTACCCAAATAGGGACTACTTTCAGGCCAAAGTATATCTATTTGGATACATGGACCCTTAGGGATCAATGTACGTGGCAGCCAGCGGCCATGCTCTTTGCAGAGGACGAGTACGTTGAGTAGCCTGGCTGCACATTGTGCTTGCAAGATGACCCCAGCCTTTTTGGGTTTCGGATTAAGTGTTTACGGGTTTAGGGGTTGAGGGGTTTACGGGTTTAGGGTTTACGGGTTTAGGGGTTTGGGGTTTAGGATTTAGGGTGCACTCTAGCGTGCCGCTCTAGCCCTGCACTTACGCCTACGCGCCAAGACCCCCACTAGAAAGACAGCCCTCAACCCGGAAGCACTATGCAAGCCCAAATAAAGGTCCACCTAACACCCCCCTAAGGGTCCATGTACCCAAATAGTACATACTTTGGCCTCAAAGTACCTATATAGGGACTACTTTAAGTATATGTTGTTTAGGGACATGGACCCTTAGGGCCCTAAACCCAAAACCCTGAATCTCAACTTCCCTACAGCCTTAAAGCTTAAAACCCTAAATGCCTTGAATGCCCCAAACCCTCAAGCCGCCAAACCGCATGGCCCTGGACATAGCTGGGTTCTGGTTTCAGGGGTTTGTATTTAGGGTTTAGGGATTCGTTTAAGTCACCATAATGGGGATCTACTTTAAATAAGATGGTTTCTGTATTATGGTAACTTAAATAAACTCATAATGGGGATTTATTTTTAATAAGATAAGATGGCTTCTTTGTTATGGTAGCTTAAAATAAAATCAAAACGGGGATCTACAGTAACTAATAAGGTTTCTTTATTATGGTAGCTGAAAATAAAATCCCTTAACAAGAACCCAGTTATGTCCATAATAAAGAAACCCTATTATTTACTATAGATCCCCATTATGGTAGCTTAAATAAAATCCCCAAAGAAGAACCCAACCTTTGGGCCTCTTCAGGCTCTCCGGCTTGCGAGCGTCCCCTTTGAAGGCTTAGCTTGGATGCAAGGTTTAGGTTTAGGGTTCAGGGTTTGGGGTTTAGGGTTTAGGGCTCAGGATTCAGGGTTTCGGGTTTAGGGTCTAGGGTTTAGGGGTTTAGGGCTTCGATACGGGCTTGCAGGTTAATGCCCTAGAGCATGTAGTCAGCCTGATTAGACACAAGTTTGCGGCAGTCCGCTTCATCCGTGACTCGCAGGATTTAGGGTTCAGGCTTTGAAGCTTAGGCCTTTTTTTTTAGGACCTGAACCTCAAGCTCTCTCTCAACCGACCATCCCCTGAGCCCTAAAGCCTAAACCCAAAGCCTTAAACCCCAGAAGGCTATGAGACCCCAAAAGCCCCAAACCCGAACAACTCAACATCTGGGGCTCCCCAGGCGAGTCTTTGAGGTGGATGTACCGGAGGGCATCACGCTTCCCGATGTGAAGGACAAGTTGCAGCTCAGGTGGGAATGTGCTAAGGGTTTAGGGTTTAAGTTCAGGGTTTAGGTTCTGAGTGCAGTGGCGAGAGTCTGGCCTGGGGGTTACGAGTTTTTGTGCACGGCTAGACGTGTCTGCGTCCGGGTAGAGCTCTTCAGTTTGCTATTCAGAGGTTCTTTGTACTGTGGATAGGGCGGGGGGCGGCCTAGTAAGTTTGCGATGCTGCTCTCGGATGAGACGTTGATCATTGGGGCCCACACCTGATCGTTGGTTAGGTCGTAGTGTTGATGTTTGTGAGTGTGTGTGCCTTGCATGTGTTTGTCTTTGTTGTTCACCGGACGTTCGTTTTGAACTGTTTCGGGGTACTTGCCGGCTCAGCCGGCTCTCTCGACCTGGAACACAAAGGACCCGCGCACAGCCCGCAAGCTCTAATCGCGACCAAAGCTTGAGACTTTTCAGTTTGCTGTTCGGTCCATGAAACCTAGATACCTCTTTTATCTGTAATCACCTTATGGCGATGTTCAGGGTTATTAAGGGGCAATAGGAGTGACCCCTAGAAGGGACCCCTAATCCTAATACCCTATGTGATAACCATTTTATACCCCTTATATAGTCTCATAAAGCCCCTACATAACCTCAAGGGTCCCTTTAAGGGTCTCTCCTTTAGTCCCTTGAGGTTAGGGATGCTCTGCGCAAAACGAGGTCTCCTGAACCCGAACTGCAGGTACCACAGGCCCAGGCGTTTTTCACTCTGAGGGTGGTGTGACTTTATTGCGGCTTCTAAGGTCGCTTGAAGTGTCCGAATAAGGGTCTCAGCGTTTTAGGGTTAACCCTAACCCCTAAACCCCTAAACCCTAAAACCCTAAACCCTAAACCCACTCTGGGTTTTAGAACATCAGGCTTTGGACGGTTCTGGTTTAGAGCTGTGTGTGCAAAAATTGACCTCGCCAGGTCTATAAGTCTACAGATGTTAAAAGCCTTTGGCGCCTTGGGCTTGTGAGCTCGACGGTTTGAGCATGAGTTCTGCCCTCAACTCTCTGTCCTCTAGGGGTCTTAGGGTTTTTGATGGTGTTGGTGTTCGGAGGTTGTTTAGTTTAGGTCTTAGGCCTTTCTGCCAGGCTGTACGGATGGCCCATGGGCTCCAGTGGCAGCTAGGCTGCCAGAGTTCCGGCTTTAAGAATCTCACAGGTTTAGCTCGTTTCGGCTCAGGGTGACACGATTCATATCATCTTTAATTTTGAGGTCAGGTTTGCCGCCTTGTTTGCTTCGGCGTCATGTATGCCAGAGGCTTGCTACCCGGTAGAGAGAAAGGTGTCCTGGTCTTCGGGTTTTTGCGCTCTCTGTGGCGTTTTTTGTCTGAGGTGTGCTTGGTTGGCTCAAAGTATGCACGAAGACGCAAGCCTTCTGTAGGCAACATCCCTGAGACAGACATGAAGCATCCCAACCCAACACACTTGGAAGCCTCAAATGTCCTGAAGTCCGAAAGACAGAAGAATCCAAGGTGCCATCTGCTGGAGGGGTGTGCCGCGCCCAGAGCTTCAGCACGGAAGGTCTGTTAATTACTGAGGTTTCGGTCTGTTTAGGGTTTCGGGTTTAGGGTTTAGGCGTTTAGGGTTTAGGGATTATTGAGGTTTCGGTCTTTGGTGATTTCGATCAGAACATTCCGGTGAAGGAGAGCTGGGATATCCGCAAATGCTTTCGAAGCGCTTGAACTCGCCTAAACCCTAAACCGATCTCAGGGAGGTTAATTAATACCTGCAGACAGACAAGGGACTCCGAGGCATCGGAGCTAAATCTGTGCACAAGAGGCCCGTCTTTGCCCAGCTCGTCTTGGCATCCCACTCCTTGAAATCCTATGAGCCAAGCCAGCTAAGTCTTACATACACCGATAAACCGTTCCAAGCAGCCAGAAAGCATCCTATCGAAGCCTTCCAAAGCTCTCAGCATGTGTGGCCCCTTCCCCCGGCACAACCCAGAGAGCCCAATACCCCTTAAATAAGGAAGTTACCTTAAACTATAGGGGCCCTAATATTATGATTTAAGGTATATTCCTGGGGTATTGGGTTCTCTGGGAACAGAAAGCAACGAGGCGTGGGCTTCGGTACACCTACTCCTCCGGGCGGCTGCGACTTTGCCCCAGCGGAGAGTGCTGGAGCTGGGTGCGGGCTGCGGTTTGTTGGTGCCTTGGGCTTTTAAGCGTTCAATTTGGGGAGGGGAATGGAGGTAAAGGCACTCAGGGATGCCAAAAGAGTTGTGGGTAATGATGAAAATGGTGACGATTGCTATCGCGATCCTTGAGTGTTGATGCTTTTTTTTTGGGGGTGGGAGGGGGGAGGGGGGGTGGTACACGGCTTGGATGTGGGGCCGTGGGGCCTTGAATAGTTTCCTTTTTGGCCGCCAGGTGGAAAACCTTGGAGGCTTTCCAGACCTTGAGCTCGGGAAAGTTTCTGGGTGAGTCGCTGTTGGGCTTTGAAGAGGCGTCAGCCTGGTTTTGGGGTTTAGGGTTTAGGGTTTGGGGGTTTTGGGTTCAGGGTTTTGGGTTTAGGAGTTTAGG